ATGTTAATATTTTTCTATATCTTATATATTTAGGAGCACCTCCATTTCGAGAAAGTGTGCGATAGAAAGACAAGGACGGTCAAACTATAAGAAAATAACGAGTTCCTCTTGACAAGATTTCGTTTGGATTTGCTGGAAAATTCAAATTAATGCTATTTTTGAAGCACTTTCTTTCGATTCAAGTGAAAAAGATCTAGGCCTTTGTCTGACATATGAAAAACATCATCAGAGCAAGTTACTATGCTTACAACCAGTTCAAGTTGACGATCAGAAAACAACGCCTCAAATACATCTATCTTGCCTAAAAACAACGATTTAACTTATCATACACCATGATAAGAGGTTGTTTTTGGCCGTGAATCCCCCCCCCCATTAATCATTATCTGTTTCTCAACCTGTGCATTTGGATAAATTGCAAGAACAACGCCATTCGCTATCCATCAATTGACGGATACAAAGATAGCAGGTTTTGGCTGGAATCAAAGTATATCGTCAATAAGAATATTCCAGTAAAGTAAAACAAATTTTGCCAAGAAGAATCATCCGTAATTTTGTGGAAGGATTGACCTTCAGATCTTTTCATCACAAACTTTCACTTGAAATGGACATGATATCAACAACTGTGAATTAAGACTTCTCAAAATCAAACAACTCTTGGTAAATATTATGCATTTGAGAGACGAAAGAAGCCGTAAAAAAGTTTTGAGGTAAAAGTGATAAACCCATTTCTTAAAAGCTAATAAAAGCTTTTACGATTATAGTGAAGCCATGCCTATATGAAATTAAACCTTGTGAGTATTAAGAAACATGCAGGCTGAGTAAATAAAAATAAGCCCTTGAGAAAATAAAGGAACTGGGCCTCACAGAGTAAGGAAAAAAAGATGATTGAAAAATGATCTGATTTAGACATGGTTGAATTCCAAATTGATAAGAAGGGTCTGAGAATCCACAGGTAAAATAAATTTAGTCACAAAATGCGAAGATAGTGAGTCGAAGCAAGTCGGACAATTAGTACAGAATAAAACGTAGAGCGAGCCTCACCATGGGGTTTTACTGGGATGGAAGCAAATACGCCGGAATCAATGGATTCCACTTTTGGAGTATTGGTAATAACATCTGATTGGTTCTGTATAGAAGTAGAACAGCGGTGAAGGTATTTTATTGTCGATTCCATGTCACCATCATGGAGGCAAAGAGCAGAGTGCAAACTGAGAAGACATATCTAAGTGAGGAAATTAGTAAAGATAATTTTCAAAAATAATCTAGTAGAAATATATCATTATAAAGAATAAGTAAATTTCTGTTTCAGTGTCTAAATTTTTAGTGAATCTAGTTAAAAGGCATATAATTTGTCATTTGATGCTAAATAATTGCAATAAATATAAAGTATCACTTAAAACTGAGTTATCATTAGAGGGCTTGGTCTAGGCATAATGGATTTAGACGTGATTAAAAGATGTGGAAAAAAGTAAATTAGCTTAAACTTTTTTATTCATATGATCCATGTATACTGAGCAGCAGACAGCGATGATAGTAAGAAAAGAATTCCATACCAATGTTCCGGACGAATAGTAATACGGCTAAAAACTAGAAATAAGACTAGATAATTTCAACAACAATAACCACAATAGAATATAGCAGCACAC